ACCCCTCCCAAAACACAATAACAAATGTAATGGGTTTCAGGGTTATAATGGGAATTGTATTGGTTTTAATGTAACCTATAATATGGTGTCTATTTGATGGATTCTATTGGCGGGATGTAATATGACAGATGGCAACCAATAAAACAACAGTAATTCCTATTGGATTAATGCCCAAAACAAAAAGGAATTTTGTAATGGTTTAATGGAAACTATAAGAATTTCTGTGATGGTTTCTATTGTTTTTTTCAGCAGGGTAATGATACCCATACTGTGCTGCACATTATTGGCAATATTGAGCTGAAGCTTGACTTTGCAAATTTAAAATCGCAAATCAAATCGCAATCGCAATATCTGTCAAAAAAAATCGCAATTTGATATTTTCCCCCAAATCGCACAGCCCTAGTATACTCACATAAAATGATGTACACTGATCAGCCACTACATTAAAAGCACCTGCCTAATATTATGTAAGTACACCTCATGCTTCCAAAACAGCTGGGAGGCATCCAGGCATGGACCCCATAAAACCTCTGAACGTATCCTGTGGTACCTGGCATTGAGACATTAGCAGCAGGTACTTTAAATCCTGCAAGTTGTGAGGTGGAGCCTTCATGGTTTGGATTTGTTGGTTCAGCACAGATGCTCAATTTTGTCATATTCCTCAAGCCATTCCTAAACATTTTTGGCAGTATGGCAGGGTTAGGCCTGGGTGATAAAACGGTTGTCAGTATTTATATTATTTAGTATTTATAGGCGCATGCTATGAGTGATAAGGAGACTGCCAATAAGTTGTGACATCAGAGACTTAGTGGAATAAAATAAAACCCCACAAATTCTCGAGTTGAACCTCTTTTAACTTAACATGGCTTTCTATACATCTCTTGTGTGAGACACGAGCGCAACAGTCATAGTTGTCCGTCTCGAAAATCCGCCGAATATGTGTTCTGTGCGAATGGCTTTGTTTCGGATTTAATCTAACCAAGATCTTCTCTAAATTAAGCTTAATTATTTCTCTAATATTTTGAATGAAAAATGCAGCAGCAGGGCATCTCATGGGTTCAACTTAATAGGCTATCAAAAACAGTAAAGTACTACGACACTTACATCATCATCAACGCATCTCGTGCACCACTGATAAGGCTCCCAGAGGCACACCTAATATTCAAATGCACAGTTTTTGCATTTGAATGCAAATTTTTATTTTACATAAATATATGATTTTTATTCCCTTTTTGATTCACAGGCACAGCACTCATTTTAACATGTGTTTGTGTGTTCTGAATGAAATACAATCTGTATGATCGGTGATTCTTTTTTGAATTATGTTATGCATAAATACATGATGCTGTTTTGTTCATAATTGCTCATGCAATTTACGAAATTATATTTGAATTGTATATGTTAGTTCAGGCGTTATGCACTTTTTTATAGATAGTCGTTATTTCATTGTATTGAATAAACAATTTATTTTGTTCATTGCGCCCTCCTGTGGCCTCAGGAGACAGGCCAAAAAGTTACCTTAAAAAAATAAAATGAGTAATTAGCTATAACTATATGTGCATCAACACTAAAATATCAATAATCGATTTTATAGCATTATTTGATATAATTCCTAGCAGTAGTAGTATGTTTTTACACAATTTTATATGTGCTCTATTACAGACCAAACTATCTGTAGCCATTTAAAATTAGTCAACCACTGCATTTTAATCACGATCTAAAGATGCTACATACAGTATGTGTACCATGAACAGTTCTTGATTTAAATTAGATTGCAGATCTTTTTTATCCTCAAACAGCAACATTGCAAACTAACTAAAGTTGAAAAAAGCATAATAGGACCCCTTTAAGGGTCTTATACTTTAAAACACTAGGCCAAAGGTGAAATTGCAGAAATGTTGAGGAAGAAGACGATGAAAATACATCAGTCTGAGAGAGGTTACAAAGCTATTTCAAAGGCTCTTAGACTCCAAAGAACCACAGGGAAAGCTATTATCTCTAAATGGGGAAAAAAAGAGAGAATTCATCTAAGAGGGCAGTGACAACTCATCCAGGGAGTTGCAATATACCCAAGAATAACACTGAAAGGACTGCAGGAGTTCCCAGAGGAACATTAGGTGTGTACTCACACTAGGCGATCTGAACCGTGCCCGAGCATGTTTGACTAATGTGATTGCCCCGTTCGCTCGGTTGGAAGAGGTGGGCCAGAGCACAGTTCTGTTGTGCTTGGGCGCAGTACGCGTGTAGTGTGAGCTCTAACCACGCTGGAGCATGGAACAGCTACTATTTTGTGTGCGCTACTGTCATCATTACGACCGCAAACATATTCCATTACTACTACTACACTACACTTTTCAATTATTGTAATTAAATCAAGTATATTTAGGTTTATAACTGGTCTGGTTCTCACCTTATTGATGAACAGGAATTGTAGTTTGCGAGTAAAGCTGCAAATTCTTTCATTATGTAATAATGAAACATAGCTGCCTATGTAATAATCCTCTGATACATACAAGTGAAAATCGCTGCACGGCATAAATTATAAATTTATAACGCAGAATATTAGCGAAAGTGGTTTTCTCCGTTATCTCGTACATGACGTAAGCGTGCTCCGGCCCGAATATTTAGTGTAGGTGTGAGTGCAGGCTAGCGGGGGAGTGGGGAGGGAGGATAATTGCTCTAAATGGGGGAAAAAAGAGAGAATTCATCTAAGAGGGCAGTGACAACTCATCCAGGGAGTTGCAATATACCCAAGAATAACACTGAAGGGACTGCAGGAGTTCCCAGAGGAACATTAGGTGTGTACTCACACTAGGCGATCTGAACCGTGCCCGAGCATGTTTGACTAATGTGATTGCCCCGTTCGCTCGGTTGGAAGAGGTGGGCCAGAGCACAGTTCTGTTGTGCTTGGGCGCAGTACGCGTGTAGTGTGAGCTCTAACCACGCTGGAGCATGGAACAGCTACTATTTTGTGTGCGCTACTGTCATCATTACGACCGCAAACATATTCCATTACTACTACTACACTACACTTTTCAATTATTGTAATTAAATCAAGTATATTTAGGTTTATAACTGGTCTGGTTCTCACCTTATTGATGAACAGGAATTGTAGTTTGCGAGTAAAGCTGCAAATTCTTTCATTATGTAATAATGAAACATAGCTGCCTATGTAATAATCCTCTGATACATACAAGTGAAAATCGCTGCACGGCATAAATTATAAATTTATAACGCAGAATATTAGCGAAAGTGGTTTTCTCCGTTATCTCGTACATGACGTAAGCGTGCTCCGGCCCGAATATTTAGTGTAGG